TTAATTTTGAACCAATGGTTCGAACGATTTGATTGAAAATTAGACTACTATTTAGTTAGGGTTTTTTTCTTTTTCTTTTTCCTTTTCCTTTTATCATCTTCATCTTCTCGTTTGCTTTGTTTTCTAGTATTGTTGCCAATTTGTTCGACTCCGATTGTTAAATATTCAAAACAAATGTAATTCAAAACCTTATTTATGCATTGCATCAATAAACGCATATACTAAATACCAAAACACTCACATGGAAGAAAAACACACTTGTAATCAAAGTTCCAAAATCTCCAACCTTAACAATACAAAAAACACATTGCAAATAGTTGATCACAGCAAAAAGAATCAACCCATGGTCACAATAGATAATTTCATCAAGCAATCATATTAATTAATAGAAAAACTAATCAGATCCCCATGCTGTCAACAAAAAAAGTGCATCAGAAATCTAACTACAACCAAATTGTCAACCATGAAGAGGAATTAAATTGAAAATTCTGTTTAAAAAAAAAAAAAAAAAAAGCAACAAAAAGAGAGAGAGAGAGAGAAAGCAGACATAAGAAAATGAGTCGATATGGAAGTATACTGTGGACAATTACATGCAATTCCAGCATAATGGGAAATGGTAAAATTTGTTTCCAAAAATTTAGCCTTCTCCAGCCTTCGGCGGGCTCGAAAGTTGGTTGAAAATGTTTCATGTTTTGATTTTGGAAACATGCTGCATAGATAAGAAAATCAGGATGAGGACAAACTGCATAGGAACAATTTTATAAAGCAACACGCACCAATTTATACTCAAGAAGTCAAACTGTACCAAGCTTCATCCAAGAGAGCGATAACCCCAATGGGTTTCTGCAAATAAATTCTTTAATATTTAACTCTTTGTAAGAAGCAACAATGAAACCTGAATTCTTTGAAACGGTAGAAAGAATCAATGGCCCAACCACTATCTCTATCGGCAACCAAAACCGAGAAAGAAACCAAGCTGAAAACAAACCCAGAATTCCTAGAAACAATCAAATCCCTCTTCATCATGCTATATCTCTTGGTTTTCTTCAAGTTCGACAAATTGGTCTTCAAATGTTTCCTCCCACTCCCGGTATTAACAAAACCATCACCTTGCCCATGCCCATCACCGCCAGCAGGTCCATTTTCTTCATCTTGGACTTCTTGGGATGTGGGTTCCACCTAGATTCAGAGGTCGCCGTTCAAGAGGAACAATTATACCAGGCACTAAATAAGGTAAACATAAAATAAATGTTGCAAGTACCTTAATGCAATGCCTCCAAACCCACTACTCACCCGTAGCTCCTGCATTAAATATTGAATAGTCCTAACTAATGACACTTGAAAATGTTTATGTTTCATTCTTAAAGGATAAATGCCAAAATCAACTCAATTAGACTTTACTAAGTTAATAGATGATAGATAAGAAGCTATCATTTTAATTCACTGAATACCAATCAAACCCATTTCATGGTAATCATTCAAATAACATCAACACTAACATAAATAATAAAGTCAATTGAGAAATGGACATATATACAGCCAAGTAAAAGTCACCGACAACTACATCAAAAGAATATATATAAATAGCAGATTCTTTCTTTCAACATGCCAAACCTCGAAAGTTTACGTCCGGTACATCTCTTTGTATTACATTGTCCAAAATCCTTAAGAAAAAAAAGAAAAGAAATTAATTTCATCCCCACAATGCAAAAATTAGCTCGTAATTTTAAATTTTTAACATGGATTTACATATCCATCCATACCCACATGGCCAGCTGAATTTTCGGAACTTGTGGCTCAACCTCAGGCTCTAAAGGCATAAGAAACTCATTAGCTGCCTAAAATCATAAGGGTGTGACTAAGTGCACCCAAAAATTGACTCTCAAGCTCCAGTACTTTCTAAGCATAGTCATGGATTTCTATTTCGTATATTTTCCAAACTTAACACCATAAATCAATGGTAAATTTAAAGGAAAAAAAATTAGTTGAAGAAGTCAATAAGAAAGAAAATATTTTAAAAACTCTGATAAAGTCTGCACTTGGCAAAATGAGTGATAAAAAACCCCACTCCAAAGCGGCAATTTATCAAACACACGGTGTGCTCAGAAAACCAAACAAATAAGCAGCACCATTAATTATCAAAACTTGTTCAGTTGGCAGAGACTCGTCTTCTCTGAAATGGGTAAGCCTGAAGCTGGTGAAAAATAAAATTGAAACATATTTTGAAGCTGTCATTTTTTTTCTTTTTTCATTTTTTTCTTCTGCCTGCAAACTGAGTCTTGCCTAATTCTACAGGATGTTTCCGTTTGCAATAGGTGGCTTTAATTGTCTTTTCAAATGTACAGAATTTGAGTGCCTCCCATTTTAAGCATGAAATTATAAAGAAAAACAGGAAGACTATAACAGCCAATCAAAGACAAAAGGCAGCTAGAAGACTTGATTATGATAGATATATAGGTGTCATTAAGAACATCTACACAGTAATGAGATCATACAATTTGAGTTCATGGTAGCAAATGTCATTATGCATGGAAGAAAATATTATGAAACAAACTGCAATAATAAATCCATAATAAAGACCCTTTAATGTGTTGAAACATGCGAAAATATATTCAAGATCCATAGCAAATGATTATAATTCCCTCCACTATCTATAGATATATAGATATATAATATTTTATATAGAATCTCTTTGCCTTTGCATAGTATACGGGTCTTTGAATGGTGTTTATGGAGATACAAAGGGTAAAACCTTTCTAAAAGACTATTGCANTACAATTTGAGTTCATGGTAGCAAATGTCATTATGCATGGAAGAAAATATTATGAAACAAACTGCAATAATAAATCCATAATAAAGACCCTTTAATGTGTTGAAACATGCGAAAATATATTCAAGATCCATAGCAAATGATTATAATTCCCTCCACTATCTATAGATATATAGATATATAATATTTTATATAGAATCTCTTTGCCTTTGCATAGTATACGAGTCTTTGAATGGTGTTTATGGAGATACAAAGGGTAAAACCTTTCTAAAAGACTATTGCATATCTTTTGTGAGATAGACATGCTAAGAACAAAAGGCAATGCACTCTATCAAAACATAGCCATTTCTTGTAACATAGATAGGAACGCCTCCCCGAAACAAAAGGGATGCTGGCTAGGACAGGTTCAATTGGTGCTGGGGCTCAACTACTGAGCTGAATCAACAACTTACATTAGTTTAGATGCAGTTGTATCCGCATTTCCACTTGTCAATTGGATCTAATTCAAATGCTTCCCGCTTCTGACGCTGATCCACTGGATGCTGCTGAAACTCCCTTTGCTACTTTTTTCTGGGTCGACTTAAATTGATGAAGCTTCTGCCTTCCTCACTTCAGCACAATAATCTTGCTTCTGCCTTCCTCTAAGCATTTGCCAGGAAAACCAGAACCGGAACCGCACAGTACAGGTTCCCAAAAAAAGGAACCAGAACCAGAACCGCATAGTACAGGTTCTTCAATTCAAGGAACCGGAACCAAAAATGCAGGTTTCGGTTCCTTTCCAGGGTACCCTGTAAAAAATCAATTATCCTGCTATTAGTTTAAAAAATAACAAAAACGCCTTATAACTTTACAAATACACCCCAAACAAATTTTCATTATTCATTCATTTGTGTCCAATGTAACTCATAACCTGTAATCTCTAAGCAACACTTGAATTGTTAATCATTTAATTAAGTATTGTAATATTGTTTATAATAGAATGTTATAATTAATTAAATAATCATAACATAAATTTATAATATAATGTTATAATAATTTGATTAAGTATTGTATAAATTAGTAAATTACTAATGTTTATAATATAATGTCATAATCAATTAAGTAATCATTTAATTATGTAATGTTATATTAATTATATGATCATACTATAATAGTATAATGTAATGTTATAATGAATTAAGTAATCATACTATAAATCTATAATTTAATATTATAATTAATTAAATTTCAAATCATTTGATTAATATACTAATGTTTATAATGGAATGTTATAATTGATTAAGTAATNAAAAAAAAAAAAAAAAAAAAACACTAACATCAAAAGAACTATAGATAGCTAATTTATAAATATCATTCCCTTTTAATGCTACCAACAACCCAAAAAAAGTTTACCATCAAAATCACGAAAATTTTTAAATGAGCACCACTACCGATAACTAATTAAGTCTCACCACCACCACATAATAAACCACTCTATCGTGTCCTAATCACCATAAACTTGGTCGCTTTTACTAAATATCTGGCCCAAGGTTAATTGAACTACCACATTCTCTCAAGGAAATGATAGATGTCGCCCTTTTTCACCACTGTTAAACTCTTCACCATTGTTGCAACCAAAACTGACCAAACTTTTGCTTCAAAGCTGCTAGAGTGAGTTATACGCACCACTAATAGAATCATACTTATATGTATTTATTGTAAGAAAAATGCAAATAATAAAGTTAATTGCATTTAAGTGAGAGTAAGTTAATTGCATTTACCTTATGAGGTTTAGGTCCATTGTCGAAGTATTGAGTATACCCCCTAATTATAACAAATATAAAGGGGAAATAGACAGTTAGAGGGCAAAATCTAAACTTTAAAACTCGTAAAATATCATAAATAGAAAAACCATTCCAATTAATCGATTAAAGTAAGTTAAATTCAAGGAGCGTAAATCTAGTATTTTAAAATGCAAGAGCTAGACAATTGTTGACCGAAACCTTAATTGGATAGTCTTTCTCTCAATAAGAATGATTCAATATTATGGGTAATTTTGGAAATTGGCAAGGGTGGTCCATGACAATATTTAAAACCTTTGAATTAAAAATTGAAATTGACAAAATTGTATCCTTGTTAAACCTCGGCCCTCGGCCTCGGGGGACTAAAATGTCATCATCCAAAACTAAACCCAGTTTCATACTTTTACTCATTTCCCACATAAAACTGGCAGGGAAATTGAAAACTCTTGCCATTCCTTCCCTCACCAAACTCCAATCAAACCTCAGAAAAATCAAAACTTTGAATTAGTCAGAGTCTTCTTCCTTCCTTCTTCTTCTCCATCCTCCTCATTCTTTCCCCTTTAACTCTAAACCCAACCCCACTTCTCAGTTCTCTTCATACAAACATCCGAGACTAAACTGAAACTGAAATCACTCTTTTCCACTTTCAAAATGCCCCCCGAAACCTCCCAATTATCTTTAACACTTCTCTCTTTAACCCTTCTCTTCATCTTCTCATCAGCTACCATTCCGCTGGGCTCGACCCTCTACGCCTCAAACTTGAACGTGTCTTGGCCCTCTCCCAACGGCACCTTTTCAGTCTCTTTCATTCAAGATGGCCCGTCGGCGTACTTCGCCGCAATCAGTTATGCCGGCGGAGTTCCGGTGTGGAAAGCCAGTCAACGCGCCGTTGACTCATCTGGGTCCTTCCATTTGCTCTCCAGTGGGACTCTCCGCCTCGTCAACGGCTCCGGCGCAACCGTCTGGGACTCCAACACCGAGAACCGGAACGTTTCTTCGGCTTCGATTGATGACTCCGGCAATCTTGTGCTGCTTGGTAACAATTCTGTTTCAGTTTGGTCCTCGTTTGATAACCCCAGTGATACTATTGTTCCCTCTCAGAATTTTACTAATAGGAAAGCCTTGGAATCTGGGAAATATTCTTTTACTCTTCTTCAATCGGGGAACCTTACATTGAAATGGAATAATAGTATAATTTATTGGAATAATAGTTTAAATTCATCCATTGAGTCTAATTTAACTTCGCCGGTTTTAAGATTGCAGTCTATAGGGATTTTATCTATAGTTGATCCAACGTTACCTAGTGCAGTTATTGTGGCTTATAGTAGTGATTATGCAGAAGGGAGTGATATATTGAGGTTTTTGAGGTTGGATACTGATGGGAATTTGAGGATTTATAGTTCTGCTAGAGGTAGTGGGACTACTACTAAAAGATGGGCTGCTGTTACTGATCAGTGTCAAGTTTTTGGGTATTGTGGAAATATGGGTATTTGTAGTTACAATGATACCGGTTCGGATCCAGTTTGCGGGTGTCCGAGTCAGAATTTTGAGTTGGTTGATGCTAATGATAGTAAGCAAGGGTGTAAGAGGAAAGTGGAGATTGAGGATTGTCCTGGGAGTGCTACTATGTTGGAGTTGCCGCATACGAAGTTCTTGACGTTTGCACCTGAGTTGACGTCTCAGGTTTTCTTTGTGGGGATATCGGCTTGTAGATTGAATTGTTTAGTTACCGGATCTTGTGTTGCTTCTACTTCATTATCAGATGGGACAGGGTTGTGTTACTTGAAAACGCCAGATTTTGTGAGTGGGTTTGAGAATCCAGCGCTTCCTAGTACTTCATACGTTAAGGTTTGTGGACCGGTGGTACCAAACCCTTCAAGTAATATGCAGGTTTTGGATGATAGAAAAAGTTGGAGGTTGCGTGCTTGGATTGTTGTAGTAGTGGTCGTGGCTACCCTTTTGGTTTTGGTTGCATTGGAGGGTGGTTTGTGGTACTGGTGCTGCAGAAATAGTCCTAAATTTGGTGGTTTGTCAGCCCAATACGCGCTTCTTGAGTACGCTTCTGGTGCACCTGTGCAATTCTCATATAAGGAGCTGGAACGCTCAACAAAGGGGTTTAAGGAGAAGCTTGGTGCTGGAGGTTTTGGGGCTGTTTATAGAGGGATTCTTGCTAATAAAACAATTGTTGCCGTGAAACAACTAGAGGGGATTGAGCAAGGCGAAAAACAGTTTAGGATGGAGGTTGCTACTATTAGTAGCACCCATCATTTAAATTTGGTGAGATTGGTCGGCTTTTGTTCTGAAGGAAGGCATAGGCTTCTGGTATATGAGTTCATGAAAAATGGGTCTCTGGATAACTTCCTTTTTGTGAACGAAGAGCAATCAGGGAAATTGTTGAATTGGGAGTATAGGTTTAACATTGCTCTTGGTACTGCTAGGGGAATTACATATCTTCATGAGGAGTGTCGAGACTGCATTGTTCACTGTGACATAAAACCAGAAAACATCCTCTTGGATGAAAACTACAATGCAAAAGTGTCAGATTTTGGCCTCGCAAAGCTCATAAATCCAAAGGACCATAGGTACAGAACTTTGACAAGTGTTAGAGGTACACGAGGATATTTGGCACCAGAATGGCTGGCAAATCTTCCAATAACTTCTAAATCTGATGTTTATAGTTATGGGATGGTTTTGTTGGAGATAGTGAGTGGGAGAAGGAATTTTGAAGTCTCACCAGAAACTAATCGGAAAAAGTTTTCTCTGTGGGCTTATGAAGAGTTTGAGAAGGGGAATGTCAAGGGCATTGTTGACAAAAGGTTAGCTGAAGATGTGGACATAGAGCAAGTAATGAGAGCAATTCAGGTGAGCTTTTGGTGCATCCAAGAGCAACCATCTCAGAGGCCAATGATGGGGAAAGTAGTTCAAATGCTAGAAGGAATTATGGAGATTGAGCGGCCACCAGCACCCAAGGCATTCACGGAAGGTTCTGTAAGCGGACCCAGCATGAATATGAGCAGTAATTTCAGTGCTGTCTCAACTTTCGCAGCCTCAGCCTCAGCCTCAGCACCAGCTCCCTCTTCATCTTCATCATTACAAATCGGAGTTTCGCCTTTACCTTCAGATAGAAATTTAGAGAGGGCATCTTCATCTCTACTACGACCATCCAACCCAAACTGAAGCTCATTTCACACTTCTAGCACAACCACTGGTTTTGTTTCTACTACTCTGAATCTGTATATCATAGAAAGAGTTGTTTCTCAAATTTCAAATGTGATATCGATGTTTGAGTATCCATAGTGTATAATCAATATGGTGTAGTACCATCATGTATGAATCGCCTGTACAAGTTCTTTCTCAGTTCACTCAAGAAATTATGTAATTAACATTTTTATCCCATCTTTGCCTTTTTGTACTTATCATTTATAAATGTAATCTGTTACAGGTTTAATTTTATAATTTAGTTGCAAAATTTTACCTCTTAAATAAAGTAGCTGGACAAGTTTGGTGAAATATCCTTTTCTAGCACACTGAGGTCTCAATGAGTACAAAATAGGATTTATGGCTGCAAGAGAAAGTCAAAGTGGCATTAAATTAAGATATTTAAGGCAAGGCTTATTATTTTTATTTTTATTCTCTAAATAATGTTTGGCACATTATTCCAGAAATATTATCTTATTTTTTAATTACTTTTAGACCTTATAAAGTTATTAATTTTATCAAATATACCCTAAAAAAAGTTTAAAAATTATCAAAAACACCCCCACAACCCATACTTGCCAGATTCCGACAACCACCATCGGTGGTAGCCGGAATCTGTACAATGGCCTACCTGCCGACCATAAATGGCCAGAAATTCACCGATATGGCCATGAACGACGGCCAAAGAAATGGCCGTCGTTGAGGTCAATGACGGCCAAATCTTGGCCATCGTTGACCGAAAACGACGGTCATATCTTTGGCCGTAGATGGCCGTCGTTTTGGCCTTTTTTGGCCGTCGACGACCACGGCAGGCCGTAGATCTGGTATTTTTCGGTCAGATACGTGGTGGATCTGGCCGGAAAAGGCCATAACGACGCGTTACGACACAGATCCGACTAGTCTATGTCGTAACGCGATTTTTCGGCCAGATTCTGGCAGTGGTGGCCAGAATCTGGCACTGCAGGTGGTGGGGGTATTTTTGTCATTTTACATATTGGGGTATTTATTAAATTAGCAAACTTAGGGGGGTTTTTTATAAATTTTAAAATTTTACCTTGTAATACTTCCATATTCAATTATCCAATACTATCCCTAAAATCCTATCCAAAATAATAAACCAAACGCAATCTAAATGTAGCTGCTCTGTCCTTGTCTAAATTATGAATTTTGGGGAAGGTTTAGCTAGATTTGTAATACTCCAAATTCAAGTGTCAATGGTAGAGTGAGGCAGCTGAAGATCATGTGCAGGATTGAGATATCTTTTACTTTTGGATTTTGTGTGGCCTTTTTGGAGATAAATATTGAGATAATTCATTTTTAATAAGGTTTGGGTTATGTACAACTGCAACACACCTTGAGGTTTTTGAAAATGACAAATACACCTAATATTTTAAATGATGCTTGTGAAAACTGACTTTGATAGATAATCTTTAGTTAAAACACTGTTTTACCCTTATCTGATAAAGTAAACAACCTATCCTAAAGTTTTCTTCTGTCTTTTATCCGTGATTGATGGCCAAAATGAAGTTATTAACAGTAGTTTAAGCAATTTGCTTCGATGTTTGGAAGCTTACAAAATTGGTAATCAGGATTTTTGACCTTATACCTTTACCTTCTAACAATGGACAATTCTCTTGATTTTGCTAATCAAATTCGTGATATGTAAGATTGCTCTTCGTAATGATAATTATAGATTGGTTGGTGTCATTCATCGTAAAACTTGCTAAATTGCTGCAAAGAATATCATACAGTCACATTTCCTTTATGGTATCCACCGTCTTGTTCACCTTTTTAACTTTCTGTTCTAAGCCTTGAGAAAGTAATTGAAATACCCTGTAAGTGGTTTCTCAAATACTAACTGAACTGCCAATATAAGCCAAAGTTGTTAGTTTCTTTTGTCCTCTTCCAATTTCTACCTTCTTCTCTAATGTTGATTGATTAAGGGTTGGTGATGTGAAGGTAGGCTCTTGAGCCAAGCTTAGCTAAGGGAAACAAGGGTGATTTTGTTCTGTAACACGTTAAATTCTGGTCCTGCGCACTGTTGATTACTTCCTGAATGATAATTGGATTTCGACTGTCAATTACCACGGTGACTTTTATGCACCATGCAAGATTGTTCGACATACCAGCCCCGTGAATTCTTTGCAGTTTTATCTATGACCTTTGTCAAGTATTCTACCAATTATTTACAGCATAAACAAACTGGTTAGACAGAGTACATTACGTGCGCATAAGCAATTGATTCAGGGATGAACAATGGAGATGGTATGAAAATCATGGGATAGTTTATGCAAAATTGAATTCTCTTAAAAAATAAAGCATGTCATAAAGATGCCCAAACTAGAAGAATTACACCAGCAGTAGCAAGAAGCCGAGATTATAAAACAGAGGAGCAAAAAACACAACTATTCTTACATTTTCTTCATTGGTGACCGATGTCAATCATTTGTACACACAAAACAGATGGACCTGCAGCAGAAATTGACTCAGAAGAAATAAAAAATGGGGCATTCATATAATCTACTTCTGTAGTGCAATGCTATAGTCAAAATGTTACAAAAACTATAATACAAAAAGGTGTGGCAAAAAAACTGTTTTTCATAAACTATAATATAAAGAAATTATTACCAACATTGGCCTTTGATCCACTGAACTTCAAGCTGTCCGAGGAATCAAATAGTCTCCTGAAACTAGCAATGCCTTCGATAATTCAACCTTGAGAAAATACAATAACATCTGCTGGCTTTCTCCACTTGTGGGTACACTTTTTAGTAGGTTAAAAAGAAAAAGAAAAAAAAAACTTATGGGTGTGTCAAGAAATCGTTCATCTTATTTGAAATGATCATGTTTAAGAATTGTGTCAAAATCCGGAAATAGGTCATCATCAACTTCCTGCTTCCATGTTTTGCCATTCGCTTTGATAAGCCATGATACTTGAGGGGATAAAGATGAATATATATCTGCATTTATTTGACAGGGCCACAGATTATTCAAATACTTACTTTGAAAAAATCGTCGTTCCAAAAGAAATAGAATTTATCCATGTCTCCTTTACATAATAAGTTAGAAGGCTCTACCAAAACATAGAAATGAAGACTGTATGAACATCTCTGAATACGTAAGGATGGCTTTGGTTTCTAAATTATGACTGATTAAGGTAGAACCACATGATAACTACTTATTACCTCAAGTGTAGAGGTATCAAATGGATCATTTCTGTTGGTACTATGCTACGATACAAATTATTTTCTCAGACCATGACATGGAAGGACATTGTAAAGTGCAGCATGAATACTTTAACAACATGACATGCACGATTGAGCAACATGATATCATGCTTGGGTTGAGTTTGGAATTTTAGACCTATAGGGCTATGTTAGAGGGTTAAGAGATATCCTACACTGAATTACACATCAAGAGATGTCCAAAATTTGAAACAGTAAGCAGAAAATCAGCGAATGATGCTAATAGAAGAGAAAATTAGAGTTAGGCGAGTTAGAATTTTGATCCAGAAATGATGTTATCAGGTGTGGAAACAGATTTTGCTATAAAGAAGTGATGATACTTTGACAAAGTAACATGAACACGTCATGATTTTATAATTATGTTATTAAGATGTTACTCGATAAACAGTACTTATTTAGACTTCTTAATTTTAGGGAAATCCATAATTGCCAAGCCTGTTGTAATGCCTAATTGCTAAGTGGTGAACAATAGGCTAACACAAACAGTGATATGATAACACTAGGTTGAGAGGATGTAGTGTGTTTCCAAACAGTTCATAATGTCAAACCTGTAACAGGAAGTGGATCAGGTTCTCTTTGACTATGCAAAACCACAGTACCCGAAAGCACAGTAATGAATCCACAGAGTGCAGAAGCAATGCTGCTAGCACTCTCGCCAGACCAATCCTACAAATGATAAAAGAATGGTTGCGCTATAACTTTAAATAGATAAAGCACATAGTTCCAGCTCAGGAATCATAGATACCTTGAACATTATCGCACTAGCAAGGATTGTAAATGATGTGAATAGAGCATAGTAGATTGGAGAAACAATTGCTGTGTTGAATGTGTCCAAAGCCTGGGTTAGTGATATACATTATTTCCAAAATCCGGGCTAGACAATAATAAAACAAATTAATATGTAAAAAAATGCAACCAACATATTGTAAATCTTGCATATCTGATCTTCTTAATCACTTCCAATCACATGTTTATCTTCTTCCTGCTATTATGTCTATATAATACTGCCTGTTTTAAGAGCTTTAAATAATAATGCGTAGGTGGGATAAAGCAAATGGCTTTATTGTATCACATACTCATCCCAAATTTCAAGATAAGAATCAGGCTGAGCATATGGTATGCCTCCATAATACTGCCTGTTATAAAATTCTGTGATCCTAATGCACTCAAAAGTTATTAACCAAAAGCCAGTTTGAAGTACACAAGACAAATGAACAATAAAGTTTCCAATACCTTCCGTGTAAAATGCAATAAATTTATAAATCCAAATTTCCTTTTAAGTGTTAGATCATTAGAATGATCTTTAGAATTAAGTTTATCAACCACTGGTTGAACCATTCAACAGTACACAATGAAATCATAAAATGCGAAAACAAAATAATCAAAATCCTAAAGATCCTAGCTATCATAAAGCAAGAAAACATTTAGGAGACAAAAAAAGGAGACTATATTTTACCTAAAGTTAACAGGGTAGAATTTTGCTGCAAAAGAAAATTATTGAATTTTTTTTCTGCTTGCTAGGATATGTGTTTATCTGTACTTTGGTGAAAACAAATTCATATCACAAATCAAAACAAAGACTGAGAGACAGAGAGAAAAAGAAAGAGGTAGTTGTTCCAAACCTTGTTCAAATAATTCAACTGAATNAATAATTTAATTAATTATAATATTACATTATAATTAAATAGTATATTACTTAATTAATTATAACATTACAATTTACATTATAGTATGATCACTTAATTAATTATAACATTACATAATTAAATGATTACTTAATTAATTATGACATTATATTATAAACATTAAACATAAGTAATTAATTAAATTATTAGAAATTTAATTAATTATAACATTACACTATTGTTCAATAACTCCTAAATAATTATAAGTATTTATAACATTACATTATAGAATGATCACTTAATTAATTATAACATTACATTATAATTTAATAATTACTTAATTAATTACAGCATTACTATATTACATTATAAACATTATTAATTTATAATATTAAATTTACATGTTATGAGTTACATTGGACACAAATGAATGAGTAATCAAAATTTGTTAGGGGTGTATTTATAAATTTTTAAGGTATTTTTGTCATTTTTTAAACTAATAGGGGGGTAATTGATTTTTTATAGGGTACCTGGGAAAGGAACCAGAACCTGCATTTTAGGTTCCGGTTCCTTGAATTGAAGAACCTGTACTGTACGGTTCTGGTTCCGGTTCCTTTTTTTGGGAACCTGCACTGTGCGGTTTCGGTTTCGGTTCCCCCGAAAAATGCAGGATACCCGGAACCGCTCACCCCTAATTTTAACAGCTCAATGTAACTATAGAGGAGGTAAGTGTGTATTTCCAAAACCTTTTGGGGTCCAAGAATTTAGGAAGTAAATAAGTTTTGTTCCAAAAGAAAATGAACAGTAAAGATCCTTAATGATACAACTATTTAACCTAATTATCATGTCAGCGTTAAGATCTAATCAACTAATGAAGGAATTTCCATTCCCGCTTTTTATGGGAAAATATTTTAAGGTTTTTAGAGAGTTCAGAGTAGATCTCAGTATTTCACTTAAATATCAATTTTCTAATACGAGATTTTTTTCATAAAAAATACATACAATTTATATGTAATAAAAAATTATAATATGACTAAAAGAACATATATTAACTACAAACATGAATAAAAATAAACACATGTTCCTGAAAGCTTTAAAAAAGTTTAAATTATGTGAGAATTTAAACCTTATTTTAGGATATTTATTTTAAATATTAATTCTTTCGAGAGTAATAAAACATATCTGCATATATTAATGTTATTCTTCGTGTGAACAATGTAATAAGCTTTCTTAAAATCTAATGATGATTATATATTAAATTTTTGTATGATAATATTGTATAGTTGGGAGTAGGAAAAAAAACATCACCTACCGCGTATATTACATCTAATATTTGATCGTATGTCAGCTAGCATACTACATATTCACACGCCAAATATACACGCTAATAATTAAAGAAAAGAAAATTTTAAGTTACAAGAGTATCTCGAATTTTCATTGAATAACATGTTTTAAATTCATAGGAATGGAAGATAGTTAGATCCTTGTGTAAATAAATAGTTGGGTAAAATTTTGCGGCCAGGGTTTCACTTGATAGATGTTGGGCCCTAACATTTTGGACAATACGGCCCAAACACGTAGTAGGAAGAAAATGTGGCTTTTATTTTCACTACACACTAAATAATGTTTATATACGAATTCGAACCATCTTATCAAAAGGTCACAATTTTCACATCTATTTAGCTGGACATTTTCAATTGTGCTCCTATACCAGAAGGAAACAGATACAAAATGTGTATTTAATGAATGGACTGTTATAAAATAAGCTATCACATGCTCTCAACTGTTGTTTTTGAGACCCTCTTAATGATTAGTAGGCCCAGAAAATAGAAATTATTCAGTGGAAAATTAGGTTGTGTAGGTCTAGGTCATTGCAGCTGTGAACTTAATGAATTTCAGCTCATACTTCATTAACCAAATTAATTAAATTTGGCAGTTTTCCATTCTGGGAAGATGAGAATGTGACTTCACGTATCTCAAACACAGAAAGTGTGTGATAGCGAAAAGATTATCGGCTTGAAGCCTTGAACATTAAAGCTATTAGGTAAGGCAGTCGAAGGAGAATGGCATCAGTTTGACTCGCCATGGCCCATGCAACTGCTTCTTAATTCCTAGAGGTGCCAAGTGATACATCCTAATCATTGAATAAGTCTAAATTTTATAACTATATCTCTCATCATTTATATGCATAATAATTTTATTATTAAAAAATTTAATTCAACTTTCTTTCAAATGATTAGATATCTATCTCATCATTTATATGCACAATAATTATATTATATTATTACTTTCTAATGTTATAAAATAAATAATAAAGTTTATAACAATAATCCCTCTTAACTAACAAAATATTCTTGTAGTTATAATAATAGAAAAAAATTATCCCGACATTAAATTTTTTTCAGTTAAAAATAAATGACAGAGGGATAATTAGATAAATATTTACTAATCTATCATATTATAAATCATAACAGTGCACTACTGATAAGGAGTTTTATATTATTTCTGAAATTTCAAAAACAAAATTTTATTTAATTAAAATTTAGGGGTCGAGAAAAACCCCTGATTTTATAAGGATAGATTAATTTTGTCAAGTTATGGTGAAGGATTGGTCATGTATCGCCAGAAAAGATATCGGGATAGAGACATGGAAATTGGAAAGTAGTATAAGTTAGAGGGAGTTAATTAATTATTTAGCATCTTAATTACGCCCCAATTCCCTTGAGTCTCCGAAAGAAGGCCATGACTTGGATTGGCACCGCTGTATAAATAGTTAATTATATATTCGTGTGGTTAATTTGTTGTAGTTCCAAAAGTAAACTGGTGCCTACAATTGGGTTTCTGAGGGTGGCTATATCTTAGATTAAATTTGACCATATTCGTCAAGTGGAGGAGTGGATATGGCACTCTGCTCTTATTACGCGTTAGCACAAAAAGATGAAAAGTTGATTATCACCAGAACTAAAAGCATCTTGTAATAAATAGAAACTTTCGTTCAAGCAAGACAAGGTCACACTAACCAAGTAAATGTCCACGTGAAAAAATTTAATGAAGCATATAAATTTAATTTCTATAAAAAGAAAGAAACCCTAGAAACTAGAAAGGTGGTTCGGTTCTTCCCATACTCTAAATCCTAATTTGCACGTGATTGATTGATTCCAGTTGTATTGGGAGCTAAACGAAGTAATAGAAGAAAAAGAAGAATAAATGTTTTCATGAATCAACTTCATGTATTTGTTGCCGCGTTAAAGGACATGTATTATAAGTACGTGCTAGTATATATATAATTGTTTTTCACATGTTAATATTTGAGCATGTCATATATTATAAAGTATATTTTGATATTCTTATTTTTACTATTATTCCCATGAATCAAATATGATCAATAAAAAGAACGATCGAGTCAACTATATATTACTATATATTACTATCAAACACGTAACCACATAGAGATTTGTGGGTTCAATTGAACCACTCAACTTTTAAAAAGTATTAATGTTTTATATATTTTACAATTTTAACCCCACTTATCTTCATGTTGACCTTACAAAATGAATGATTAATTAACGTTTTTTTAACTTTTCTCTTCTCTTCATTTTCTCTCATTTTCTCTCAAATTATATTTTTCCTTTTAGTTGGATATTCAATAAAGACTACTTTTTTAGATTACAAGGTAAAATGATACTCATTTTATTTTTATTTTTTTACTTAAAATTCTTTTCTTTTAGCTTTCTTAATTCATGAAAGATCATGAACTATGAGTTTTTGTTAGGTTTAGTAAATGAGTTTGAAATTGGAAGATTAAATTACTATATTTTGATGTAGATTTTGATTTAATTTTGTTCATGTTGAGGTATGGGTTAATTAGTTGTTGTTTTAAGTTGAGTTTGATAAATTTTGGTTCGTTATTGAGTTAATTTTGAATGGTTTAAATAATTGATGAAACCCTAAGTTATAGAGATTTGGGGATTATACAACGTGTTCAGAATATATAAAATCGTCGAAGATAATTGTAGAATTGATAATTTGGTATGTATAACTTTTAAAATTATATTTTTATGTTTATTACTTCAGTATATATTTTATTGTCAATTTATCAACTTTGATATTTTAAACCCACTGACTTAGAATTCTAGCTACGTCCCTGATAACTATACTGGCTAA